CTGTCTGTCTGTCTGTCTGTCTGTCTGTCTGTCTGTCTGTCTATCTATCCAACTACTATTCATTTACCTTTCTATTCATCTATCTTCTGTCCATCCATCCATCTATCATCCATCCATCTCTATCATCCATCTATCTATCTATCTATCTATCTATCTATCTATCTATCTATCTATCTATCTACCTACCTACCTACCTACCTACCTACCTACCTACCTACCTACCTATAGATTATAGATGATGATGATGATGATGATGATGATGATGATGATGATGATGATGATGATAATGATGATGATGATGATGATGATTGGATTAGAGACAGGCATTCTGGAGAGTGAAGTTTAATGGGCCCAGCAAATATTGCTAATGAAGAAGCTGCAGTAATTGCTGAAATATCAGAACTGTTTACAGTCTTACAAAATGGGATAGTTAAAATACTACTTGGGAATTGTGAGTGGAAAATGGAAAACATATCCCAAAGGAATAGAAAGGATCAATTTATATTACAGTACCAAAAAAGGCAATGTTAAATAACCTTCAAACTTCCAAACCATGCTTTTATCTCACATGCTAGGAAGATAATGCTCCAGATCTGTTGGTTCAGATTGCAGCCATATATGGAAGGTAGACTAGCGGATGAATAAATTGGATTTGGAAGAGGCAATGATACCCAAGAAGATGACATTGGTAACCTCTGACAGATAATAGAAACAGCAAGAAAGTTCCAAATGTATCTCTATTTTTGCTTTATTGATGATGTGATGCTGTTTTGTGTACCATAGCAAGCTGTCAGTAGTTTTTATAAGTATAATCATTTTATCCACTTATTGAACAATTCATGATGAACAGGACCAAGAATACAGACCAATTCAATTGTTCATCTCTGGATCAGGGCTTTATCAATTTGCTTTCTCCACATTTATGAAGAAATGTATGAACTTCAGCAAATTCTTATATCAAACAATAAACAAAATAAACTACTCAGTGATTCAGAATAAATAAGTAAATCTATGCTTAAAAGTAGCTTATGTTACAGCTATTAGACGGGAAAATGGGATTCTCAATGAAGTGGCAAAGGAGCGACACTCTCAACCCAAACTCTGGGTGCTTCCATCCATTGAGTGGACTTCCATTTTAAACATAGCCCATCCTACATAATGTTCAGCCTTAGGCAATAGGCTGACTCTGTAAACCACTTAGAGAGGGCTGCAAAGCACTGTGAAGCAGTTCATAAGCCTAAGTGCTATTGCTATTCAGGCTGATCTAGGTCCCCACTGAAGGAATCAGTATGAAGGCTTAGTGGTTCAACAGACTTCTCTTCCTCCTCATTTGAAGTCCTGGCAACTGATTGTTAAGCTGGAACAAGTGGCAAGCGGAACAGGGATGTGTTTTAATAGAAGGCTAAATCACAAATCTAGCCATCCATTGAAACTATTGCCAGCCATTGCAATCTTCTTGCTCTTTGCATTATTCCCATCATATCACAGGGTCCACAGTTTTGCATTTCACCTGCTACTTTCTCCGGTGATGTTACACATATACAGTATGTCTATGGAGATTCCCAATCATCCAGGTCAAGGCTGTCCCAAAGGTGCTTTTTCAAGCCTTAGTTGAACTTTGTAGTTGTTTTCTTTGAAGACATTTCATTTCTCATCCAAGAAGCTTCTTCAGCTCTGACTGGATGGTGGGGAATGGAAGGATTTATATTCCTTGAAGACAGTTGGTCATTTGCATTCTTTTGTGTGGTCACTAAGACTACCTGGTGGTTTATCTATGTCCTCATGTGACCCTGAGTAGTGCAAATGGGTGTGGAACCTTCTTGAAACTAATGAAAGGGCTGTTGAACAGCCTTCTCTCAACAGAGGGGGAGGGATACGATCTTCAGCCTACAACACAGTCCTTTCAGCAGTTCCAAGTAGGCTCCATACCCATCTGCACTACTCAAGGTCACCCGAGGACACAGATAAACCTCTAATTGGCCTCAACGACTCTCAAAAAGGCCAACTGAATGCAAGGAATATAAATAATTCCATTCCTCACCATCCAGTCAGAGCTGAAGAAGCTTCTTGGATGAAACGTTGCCAAACAAAAAAGTCCAGTTTCCTCTTCAAAAAGTAGCTCTGGGATTACTTATAGATGGTTTTCTTGCCCTTTGTAAAGAGAGCAAGCTTCTCTGCCTGGAAAATGAGGAGACTATTTTTTTGGCTGTAAGGTAATATTTGTTTCTTGGAGAAAAGATCTAGCAAGAGGATAGGAAGGAATTGGGCCATAGGGAGTTGGTGAGGAAAGAAGACAGACTGAAGTATAAAATAGATAATATTGAGGAGCCCTTTCAAAAGATGGATTCCCAAAGAAGAAGATTTTGTGTGTGTGTGTGTGTGTAGTCCTTGACTTACTCTGTTCATTTAGTGACCAATCAAAGTTACAATGGCACTGAAAAAAGTGGCTTATGAGCATTTTTCACACAACTGTTGAAGCATCTCCATGGTCACATGATCAAAATTTGGACACTTGGCAACTGGCATGTATTTATGACAGTTGCAGTGTCCTGACATCATGTGATCCCCTTTTGTAACCTTCAGGCAAGCAAAGTCAATGAGGAAGCCAGATTCATTTAACAACCATGTTACTTACTTAACGGAAGTGATTCACTTAAACAACTATGGCAAGAAAGGTCATAAAATGGGACAAAACTCCTATAACTGTCTGACTTAGCAACATAAATTTTGGGCTCAATTGTGTTCATAAGTCAAGGACTATCTGCAGTCTCATCAGCACCCAGAGTCATTCGGAATCAGACGTGGTATTCTAACAGTTCGGACCGGTTTGCCTGAATCGGTAGCAAAAATCACGGGTGCCCCCCCCCCCAGCTCTATGGCATCCCATTTAGGCCCTTTTTTAGTCAAAGCGCAGGGACGGAAGACTTAGCACATGCACCAAAATGCACACTCACATTTGCAAACCGGTAGGGAAGGTAAGTAAATACCATCCCCGTTTGAAATGAGGCATTTTTAAATCTGCGTAAATAAAATCAGGAAAAGAAATATCATAGTATTGATGGGGCAAATAACATTCTGCTTGTTCCTCTCTCTGAACTGTAAGGGGCAAAAAATCAGAAGTGAGGAAGGGCTAGAGCTACAATTCACTCAAGCTGAAGAATTAACAAAACTTTAGGAAGAAATGGAGAGGTCAGAATATATTTTATGTCACCATCATTTGGAATTGATTTTGATTTACCTCTATTTAAAGAGAAAGAGAAGGAGCTGAAGGAGAAGGGCATTTTTGAGAAAATGAGAAAAACACTTTGGCAGGCAGCAAAGAACAGAAGCTAAGACATTATTTGCCAAAGGAAAATGAATAAGCTCTTTTGTAAAAAGAAAAAAAAAAGGCCTATTTGTTTGGCACCTTCATTCAAACTGGAATTGCTGTGTAAGATAACAACAGGCTATTCTGATCATTACGTTTTTGTGACCAGTCATCCAAGGGAGCATTTTGTAATTTCAATGAATAAAGCTAATAGATAGCCATGATTAATCTTGACCACAATAAGCTCCTCACTGCTATATTGATTTGACCCCACTGATAAGATGACCATAGACCGGCTATTATAATTGGCAGGTTAAAAATATGGCTCTTTCCTCACTATTATTCAGTCACTACCTGAATTATTTCTCACACTGTTTATTACAGAAGAGTAAGTTGCACTATTTGGGAGGCAGCTTAAAGAAATATATCCCAAAATACCACTAGACATATTCTGTGAATCTTTCACACTTTTTTCAAGTCCCTCCAGCTCAGTTCTCTAACATCTCAATTTGAAATTATGTACCCAGATGAAACACGGTTGAAATCCTTTGGATGGCATGTCATTTAAAGTAATGGAGATAATATAAGGGGCAAACTAGAAGGACAGGATATAAATAAAATGCAATGACTTGCTCACAAGTTTATTGGTGGCAGGAATGGTCAGGCCAACTCTCAACCAGCTTGTTTGATAAACAAATCCATTCTCTTATTCAGGACTGGCAAGGTTTGTAGCTCTCCTCTCATATGAGCCATTCATGAATTATTATTTTTTTTGCCCATTTAAGGGTGGGCTAAGTATAGTTGGGGTTATATGGCCTTCTCTCTGATCCACGTTGGGATAAGATCAAGAAGATGTTTGAGGAAAGGGTGAGGATGGGGAATTGGGAACTGGGATCTCTTCAGAGGTGGTATTCAGCCAGTTTGGGAGAACCGGTATCGGAAATTTTGAGTAATTCAGAGAACTGGCAAATACTACCTCTAGTTGGGCCCTCCCTCTCACCCCTATCATTCCCTGTCCTATATTCCCTCGTTTTTTTTAGCTCAGCTGATTCATGCAGCAGAGCATATTGGCATGCCCCCGCAGAGCTAAAAAACAGCTCAGCTCGCCAGCTCTGACACCAAGGACGGTCTTTGAGTGCTGTGTGCGAAGTGCGAGTGCATGCGCAAAGCGCTCTCTCATAGAACCAATAGGAAAAGATTTGGAATCCCACCACTGGATCTCTTGTCTCATAAGAGTGAAACGCACCCTTGATGTGCCCTTATTGACTTAACCAGAGAAGGAAGGACAAAGTGTTTTGACTGAAGCCTAGCAGGAAACAAAAAAAATCCATGAAAGTTGAAGAGCTTTGAATTAAATAAAGCCTACTTTTGTTTGAAAATGCAGAAGCAGAAATCTATTCAAATCCTGAGGCAACACAGGAGGAATCTGCCTAATTTTCAAGATTTCAGAAAACTCCTTAAAGTGTTATTCCAAAATGGTTGCTACCTTGCTTCAATATGCCAGAAAAGACATCTGGAATGTGAAATGTGCCTTCTTTATAGTGTCCAGCCTTTCATCCTTCCTGTAAACCCTTTTTTGATGGAGATTGACATACTTCTAATGCTGTGCCGTGTTCCAGGTTTCTCCAGGTCCTCAGCTGCAACTATTTGGTAAATGTCTTCATCAACCCTCCAGCTGTTCAGGTTCCCTTTCATATGTTTTGTATTGCTCCTAGCGTAGGGATAAAGGAGGGGATCCCCTTTGTCTTTCTTTGCTTCATAGGGCATCCCCTGCTTGCTTCCTCCAGCAATGGATGTAGTCCAAAGCTCAAAAAGGTCATAGCAACAGATGATACCTGGAAACATGAGCTTTCATTTACTATGATGCTTCAACCAACTCTGGTTCTTTACCATATTTGGCAATATAGTCATTTTACCAAAATTTGGAAGATGCAACTTGGCTGTTCCTCTAAGTGCAGAGAGTGGGGATCAAGCTCAGTTCTGAAAATGTACATTTCATAGCTTATGTGTAACCCTTTTCTGTATGCCCATAAAAGATATTCAGAAAGCCAAGAATCTTCAGAAGACCTTGATCCAAAAAATCTTGACAGGTTCATTGTGGGGAACACCTCATTCGGGCAAACTTTAAGATTAACACTTTAAATCCTTTTCTTCTTTAGTCTCAGTCACACATCTCACTTGCCTAAGCAGGCAGTTCTAACAAGCTAGCTTTCATTTAAACTAGAAGATGGAATGTTTGGTTGGCCTATGCCTTTGCATGTCCATGCAGCACAATTAAAAACAAACCAGAGATTTGGTCTCTGGCTTCTTCTGTCTGAATGAAGCCATGTTCATGGGAAAAAGCCAATTGTTACTTTTGAGTATAGAATAAGCCCAGGTAAGTGTGACAAAATGAACTTGTTCTTTTCATCTGTTTTCTCTTTTTTTTGCAAAGATACAGCTTGATCTGAGGAATGATATAATGTCTTTAAAACACCTGGGTATAAAGCTATTTGATGATCTCACATCATTTCCATCACATTACCTGAAAAAAAACATTTGCCCTTAGAGTCAGTTCTGAAGATAACTGAATCGGCTGTGCATATTTGTATGTGTGTGAGGGAAGGGATACAGGTAACTAAGACTGTTGCTAAGCTTTTTTGACACCTGAAATGGAAATAACTTCTGTACACAGTAATGTAAAAAGAAATGTCTTTAATGATGTCCAAGATCTGGGACTTAAGGTGAGTCCTGTGATGCTGAGTCATGCAGGGAAAGCTTCTTGGTGCTTGCTTTTTAAAATCTGAATTCTGTTGGAGAGCTTAATTTGCTCCACCCAAATTCTCTCCATACCAGTCAAATAAAGTCAAATAAAGTCCCATGTTTATCAGAGAAGAAATGGAATGTTGAAGCAAACATTCCATTAACATTGTTGTGCACCAGAGATGTTGTAGGAGATTTTGTCATCCGGTTGTTAAGAATTGCTTGTTGCCTTTCTCTCATTCATTTATACACAAACGCAGGATTGTTATTTAACCTCCTGTTCCTTTTATGTGCACTTTCACTTTGCTTTTTTAAATATATTTTTGAAACTTCCCGGTATCTGTCAAGTTGATGAATTTAAAAGCCTCCTAAAAGCTGACCCCTTCACCTTGACATGCTCTAACCAATTTTTCACTTCTACCTCCCCTTTTCTATCTAGACATGAAAGAAAGGACTCTGAATATTTTATGTGCAGGGTATAATTACTAAAGGCACAAGAATCAGGATGTTGTTTTTTTTACCTTTGTCAGTTGCCAAGCCGTGTCAGCTAATGTTCAGGCTGCATTTTAGTTTAAATGTTAGCCTTTATAGTATATATTTATTGTGTGGATGGCTGTGTTTTCTCTCAGTTTCTCATTTGTGTAGTCTTGCATTCATTTTGTCATGATTTTGAACCAGTTTCTGATTTTTTTTCCTCCAGCAAGGAAAAAAAAAGTACACATTTTCAGATGCATTTCCCCTGATATACCTACTTGGCATTTTTTGCAAGCAATTTCTTTTAATGTAATGCAATTTTTAATCATCTTTTCCAAGACTGTGCACTGTTTGTTGTGCACTGTTGCTAAACATATCAATATTTGCACACATATTTTTTAACCTGTGAACTGCTTTGAAAAATCCAGACAAATGCTAATGACAATTTTCCTAAGTAGTTTTAGGTTGGTTGGTTTTAAATAAAATGTGAGTTGTAGGTTAAGGGGAATTAAGTGTAATAAAAGGCTTAGAATAATTTATTTCTTTTCCTACCATACTTCAGTAAGAAATCTCATTCTTAAGGCACAATCCAAGAAGCAGAAAGGAGGAGGATGGGCACCCCAACTGGCTTAAAGACTACAGATTATCCACTTCTTCCCTACAACAATATGGAGGGGAAAAAAGCTGGAATGACAATTTAGTTTGAAGTGGTGATGTCGCTGCCCCCTTCCCCATGTGTTTGTTCGCCGCCCTGAGTCCCCCTGGGGAATAGGGTGGCATACAAGTATAATAAATACAAATAAATACAAATAGGTCTTCCTAGAGTCATGCACTAAAATATGAATATTGAAACCAAGAGACTCTCTGCCTTGAATCTACTGCCTATGCATATGTTCCTGGTGATATTGTCTTGAGCTAGGAAGTCTGGTGCACAAAATCAGACCAGACCTGGGACCAGAACTGGGACCAGAACTGGGACCAGAACTGGGACCAGAACTGGAACCAGAGATAATGTGCACAATTTGACACCATATTTAATTGCATATTGAATATAATAGAATAACAGAGTTAGAAGGGACCTTGAAGGTCTTCCAATCTAACCCTCTGCTTAGGCAGGAAACCCTACACCACTTCAGACAAATGGATATCCAACATCTTCTTAAAGTCATTCAATTGATTCATTGTTCTAACTGTCAGGAAATTTCTCCTTAGTTCTAAGTTGTTTCTCTCCTAGATTAGTTTCCACCCATTGCATCTTGTCCTACCCTCAGGTACTTTGGAGAATAGCTTGACTCCCTCTTCTTTGTGGCAGCCCCTGAGATATTGGAACACTGCTATCACGTCTCCCCTAGTTCTTCTTTTCATAGGACTAAACATACCCAGTTCCTGCAACCATTTTTCATATGTTTTAGCCTCCACTTCCCTAATTATCTTTGTTGCTCTTCTCTGCACTCTTTCTAGAGTCTCCACATCTTTTTATATCATGGCAACCAAAACTGGATGCAGTATTCTAAGTGTGGCTTTACCAAGGCATTATAAAGCGATATTAACACTATTGGCATAGTGGTATGGATATGTGTGTGTGTATGTGTATATGTATATGCACACACACACACACGTACACACACACACACACACACACACACATATGTGGGCATGGATTCCTTTAGAACATAGAATAATAAAATTGGAAGGGAGCTTGGAGGTCCAACCCCCTGCTCAAACAGGAGACCCTATATCATTTCAGACAAATGTTTGTCCAGTCTCTTTTTGAAAGCCTTCGGGGATGGAAGACCTACTACTTCTGAAGGCAAGCTATTCCATTGGTCAATTGCTCTCACCATTAGGAAATTTGTCCTTAGTTCTAGGTAGTTTAGTTAACTGCTTATTAAACATACTGTATTGCTTTCAGTCAGATACCCATTTGACACTTATTCTTAGGCAGGCATTAAACATGGAGTTACCTTTCAGTGACTTTGGTTCTAGATAAGACCAATTATTCAGTTTTCTCATAAATATGAAAATACAATGCATGGATAAGGAAAAAAAAACATCTTCAGACTTCATATATCATATAGGCTTATGCATCGGCCTACTAGAGTTGGCTACATCTTTGTGTCAAGTGACATTTTGTTAGCAAACCCAATTTCACACTCTAGCAATGCACAGAAAGGTCCATAGTCCCATTTTACGATAGGAATTTCACAGGAAAAGATGGGGGGAGGGGGAGAGTATGTAATCACTTTTATTATTACTGTTTGCTTGTTTGTTGTTGTTTATTGGCTGTGACTCCATTTGAAAAGAACATGGTACCATTTGAACCCACATCATGCAGGAAAAGGTAGCAGGCAAGTTACAAACAAAATTTACATTCACAAAGTCTCTACTTGAAGTCACCTTCTGGTTGATTTGGAAGGTGCTGCATGCATTCGAGAGAGGGGTGAAGAAAAGGAGAGCTTTCCCCCCCTCTTATTAGAAAATGCCCACCTAATTACATGTTCTGCTCTGTTTATTATGTGAGTGGAGTGTGAAAACAAGCATAGTTTAAAAAGACATTGACTGAAAGATGTTGCCGACGGAGCACATAGAATCGCGGTTAACACGGAGTCAAACGTATACAGAGGTAACGGGATCAGATATAAGTAGGACATTACATTCAGATCACAACAACAGATTCCTAATGGTTGATTCTAATGTTCTAAGAGCCTGTTTGGAAGAATGCATTTAAACGTCATCGGAATGCTGTTTCTTGGTAGAAAGTTAGGGTAGATGGAAACAAAGCTAACATATTGTCCTGGAAACAGAGATGGAAATTCCCAAAGTGATATAGCACACAATCTAAGGTTTTGCTTCCTGTTTGTTTCTTTGTTTCAAACACAGAATAGCATTGTGATTTAATATTGCAGTCTGATTTTATATGGCTTTCTCTAAGAATAGATGCAAATTCATGAAGCTCCACTGCCAAACTTAGCTGGTTCCTTGGTTTCTCCCAAACCCCAAAGGGATTAATACACTGCTTTATTTCTATTGAATTAAACAGAGATGTAGGGGAGAAACACAGACATGAGGGAACTGTCCAAATGTGTGTAATCAATGAAAAGCATTTGTACCTGAGATAGAACTTATCATGATGGAATTTCAAAACGAAAATAAATGTTGAAAAATGTTATGCATTCTGGAGGAACAAAAGTATATGCAGAATCTAAAGGAAAGAAGCACACTTCTCTTTGGTCGTCTTAATATGCATTCACTGGCTGTGTATTCACTGTGCTAGATGTCAAGAGTTTCCAGAAATGATCCCAAAATGTATACAAATTAAAAGCTGAGAACCCAGGGACTGTGCTGATCTTTCTTTTCAAGGTGGCAAGTGCCCATTGTAATTGTGTTACACACAACTACTGGCACATTGAGGGAGACAACCCCTCAAAACTGGCATTGTTTTCAGGTATAAACCACATGATATGCCGAAGTCCAGGGTATGTTTTGTCGGTTCAGATTGAATGGGATGGAAGAAATATCTTTTTTTTAAAATGAAAAAAAAAACATTTTTTTTTTAAAAAAAGCCTTGCATGCTAAACAATAGCACATCTGAAGAATGATCCCCCCTTCTGATTTCCTTATATTTGAAATGCCAATGGTGAATAAGTTAATATAGGAAAACATTGAGACTAGATCTATTTAATGCTTGAAGTAGAACAATCCTGAAAGGATCCCACATTATAATTTCATTGTAGTTGGTCCCTAAGCCTACTTTAATACAGCTGATTTAAGAGAAATACATTAGCTTTCCTTCCAATCTTAGTCCCCCCCCCCCTCCACAGTGGTCCACCTTGCATGCTTTTATTTGCTTAAAAATAGGAAAAATGTATGGCTTTAAATCCTATTGGACTCAAGATGGAATCGTAACTAGTATTCCCTTTATTTTAGCAGGGACAAAAGCTGATCTTTTTTCAGAAGCTCCAAACTGAACTAAATCAGATTCAAAAGACTAACATACAGAATACGAATAATAGCTGGCTATCACAGGTTTGATTTTTTTTTAACCTACAATGAAATAATGCATTACTTCTCATTTTAATGAAGGATGAAACCAACCTTTGGACAAATTGGATTTTGCAACAGGCAAAACCTGTTGCATATCACACCACACAAACCATCTGGCAAGGACTGACTAATTTCAAATGCAGAGCTGGACAGAGCTGGAGAAAATCTGGGCTTGTCATCAGTGCACCAATATAACAAAGGATGGTGACTTTTCCTGGCACACAAAGCCATGTTCCCAGCTGCTTGAAATCACCTGAACTAGTCCAATCGCACACTGTTTGGATAATCATGTGAAATTTTGGTGATGGCTCATTGGAACTCATTATCTTTGAAGGGAGATTTGTCCATCGTACTCATTGCTGCTATGTTTAAACTGTTATTTTTTAAAATTTAATTTAGAAAATGCAAGAGTTATATGGATAGTGCTAGATGGCCAGGCACTGAAGAACAGCAAGCAGAGGTTCATTTGCTATGAACTTTAACCTTGTCAAGGTGTTTAAAATTCTAAACATGAAGGAGAGGCAGCAATACCTGACCCAAGTCAGCCCTACTTCCTCTAGACCTCATCTTAGTGACAGGGAAGATCTGAATGGAATCTTGCTGACTGTGGCCTGAATAGCCAAGAACCCTGATTGGGCATATCTGCTGACCACAGAGTGGATTTGATTGCGGTCATAGGAATATGGCTTGAGTTTTCCTTTAGATCAGCTTTGCTGGCTGAGGAATTCTGGGAGTTGAAGTCCACAAGTCTTAAAGTTGCCAAGGTTTGGAGACCTCTGCTTTAGATCATCCTCATCAACATGGCAAAATTGTGTGCGTGAGAGAGAGAAAGAGAGAAAGAGAGAGAGGGAGAGGGAGAGGGAGAGGGAAAGGGATAGGGTTAGACTAGACATCAATGTCTGTCCAGGATTTCTGAATGCCTGGATTTTAAAAAAAACATGTATATGTATATGTATATGTATGTGTATATGTATATGTATATGGGCACATGCTCACTCACAAATTTAAATGGATTTAAAAGTAATTATTTGAGAACTATAGTTCTGGGTAAGAAGAGGATACCAGAAAGCTAATCAGAAACTCTTTTTTCCATCTTTGCAAAATTTCATTTTCTAAAATTCACATGGGGAGCTCAAATCAATTAAAACAGTACATGAAAATATGCTTTCTTGCATTCATACTAAAGATAGAACTTCAGTAGCCTGAGCCTTCAACTAAATCTGAGAAGGAAGGAGGAGTAAATAAAGTTAGGTAACTGCTTTATACCAGCCTGGAAAAAATAGTAAAAGATGCTGAATTTTGCTGAAGTTGCTGGCCAAACTGAGAAGCATGAAGCAATGTACCTGCCACTTGATAATCCCTCATCTGAGTGTATTAAGAATCTATTGAAATTAAGAGATGCCTGCATGATTTTGGGAAGGTCACCTTACTGTCATAAAGGCATCTATTGAGCCTTTCCTTCTGATGGAATGAGGGTTGGATAGTTTCAAAGACCCTTTGAAGAGGTACTCTGTAGGAATAAAAATTATGTGGGTCCCAATTGCTTTAAAAAGCTGGTAAAGAATTGTCATTGTTGACCTTAAGGTTCGTAGGCCTAGAATGTTATTTTCTATCATGGTAGTTGTATTGTATATGCTTGCGTTCCTGTCAATAACACTGCACTTAAAAAGTGTTCGTGTTATGGTTTCTATAAACTACCTTATAAAACTTGTAATGGAAAATGTTATAAGTAAGGATTTTTCAAACTGTGTTCTGGAGTTCTATGAGAATGTAACAGTTTCTAAGGCTAAAGGCAAAATAAAATGTAAAAAAATAGAATGCAACCAATTTTTCATCACCAGAGCTTTGTTTCTTGATCAGGATTTCTAGATTTTTTAAAAGTAACTAATAGTTTAACAGCTTCTAAAGTTAGCTTTTGTTTAACAGCATAGCCTGAAAAAGTTAGAAAACTCTTACAGTAAGTGACTGGGGAAATATCTACATGGAATATTTATTTCCTCTGACCAAGACACTGGCAAATGAGGGAAATGCTGTTATTGTTAGAAATGGAAATCAGATAATTAACAAGAAATAAAAAAGGAATCAAGTGCTCAAAGTCAGATTTTGAACAGAACATGAACAAGGTTTAAAACCTCCATTTTTCTTTGTCTAAACCAGGTACAATCCCAATGTGATAGAACTATGACTAAGTGGGGCTACAAGTAATTCTTACTTCAGAATTCCATGAGTTGTAAAGTCAACATATATGAAGGATTTGGAAAAAAAACCTGTCAAGGGAATTCTGCTCAAATAATTCCTTTCTTGGAAACTGACTTCTCTTTTCACAAGAGGGGTTGCCAAGATTGCACATTAAAAGAAAACAGCACAATGATCTCTTTCCTTTCCTGATTTAGAAATGCTGCGCTCAACCTTGTAACTTCAATAATAAACATCTTTATAATTTAAAATAAAAAGTTTCAAAATGGCTGCACCATTTAAGCACATTATTTCCTGACAAAACTTGCTGGGATGATTCCCCACTAAGCTTTATTATAGAGATCAGGAAGACTAAAAAGATGTTCTGAGCATTCACGCTTTCTTTAAAACCAATTAATAAGATGTATTATTTACTAAGTTTATTGCCATACGTAGCCCATTATGCAAGGTAGCAATAGCACTTAGACTTATATCCTGCTTCACAGTGCTTTACAGCCCTCTATAAGTGGTTTACAGAGACAGTATATTGCCCTCAACAATCTGGGTCCTCGTAATGTTACTTTGGCTAACAGGAGGGCAGGAAATTATTTGAATGCTCCCCAAAACAAAATATTTCACTTCGGGACACCAAGAGCTTCCCAGATGTGTTGGCTTTCTTTTCTTTTTTCTTTCTTTCTTTTTTTTTGTTAAAAAGAAACATACAGTATATGGAAAGGGTTTTTTTTTTCTAAATGTAAAAATACATTTTTTCTACATTATAGTCATTTCTACATCTATCTTCCCTCTATAGGCTGTAGTCATACACAAAGTGACACTATCACATGATGCTGCAGCTCATGAGGCCCTGCTCTGATTCCCATTCTAAAGTGAACACAACTGTCTTTTCCCACTGGCTAGGCTAGGTATAGCAATGGCACTTAGACTTATATACCGCTTCATAGTGCTTTTACAATCCTCTCTAAGTGATTTACAGTGTCAGCCTATTTCACCCAACAATCTGGGTCCTCATTTTACCCACCTCGGAAGGATGGAAGGCTGAGTCAACCTTGAGCCGGTGAGATTTGAACTGCTGAATTGCAGCTAGCAGTCAGCTGAAGTAGCCTGCAGTACTGCACTCTAACCACCGTGCAACCTCAGCTCTATAGGGTATAGGGACACACCAAGAAAACCTTAAGGAAACTATTCAGAGACTATTACAACAACCAGTGCAAAAACAGAGAAAGTATTAGGCTGAATCCTCCCTGATTCCTGGGATATAAGAGGGAAAAAAGGAAAAAGACAGTCAGGATTCTAAGACACTTTTATGATAACTAAGTGAATCTCAACCTCAGCCTCTATGATGTATCGACTTCAATTCCCAGAATTCTCCAGCCATCATGCTGCATTTGAAGTTCACACATCTTAAAGTTGCTCAACTTGAGAAACAAAAGTCTATTTCAGTTGATAATGTTCTACTCAAACTCTAGACTCGTTTCCTGATTAGGCCAACTTCAAAGAGCTAATATTGATATTTCTGATCATGGGCAGGATTGATGATAGTTTAAGTTGATGCCAGGACATGAAGAGAACAGAAGCAATGTAGAGCAATCTTTTGCAGTTTTGCCAAATCTGGGCTACAAACATCCAGATGATCATGAGATAGCACCAAACAGTATTGACAAATATTCTTAATTAAAAAGTCAGGAACCAAATTTGGGATTGTAAAAAAATAAAATAAAAATACATATAATATTGCTGAGCTACTAAACTATAGCCATTCCCTGATTTTGAACCAGGCTTTAGTGTGCTTAGTTTCAGTAAGTGGCTATCAGACATAAAACAAGGATTTTTATTATTATGGGCAGCCTAAGTATGTAAAAAATAACTGACATAAGACAATGCAAATTGGACTCTGAATCAGTATGAACCATTGTTGTCATTTAGTTCCTTTTATTTTCTCTGGATGGAAATGTATGTGTTGTACACATACAATAATAGTATAACTAATAATGTGTATTTATCTGGAATATGTTGGCTTCTTTGTGACATGGAATATTGGCCTACAAATTGATCTCAGGCTTTAAATTGTTAAAGGACTTTGATTTTTTTTAGGATTAGTTCAAACTTCAGTGAAGAAGCTTTTAACACCTCTAAGGAGCTACGCCTCTCATAGCTCACTTTAGTAGCTAACACCCCAATTGACTATTGTTAAAAAAATAGAGAGACTCCATGGATCATAGCATGCCAGGCCCTCTGTCCTCCTATATATCCTGGAATTTGCTCAAATTCATATTCAATGCATTAATGACACTGTCTAACCATCTCAGCATCTGCTGTCACCTTATCTTTCTCAACATCTGGGTCCTTTCCATTGAGTCCTCTTGTCTCATTAGATGGCCAAAGAATTTGAGCTTCATACCTGTTCATAACAGTTTCTCTAATAAGTTCGAACAAGTTAACCAGCACAGTTTTATGACCTTAGTTAATTAAGTCCCTGCCAGGCTTGTGCTGCTGCCTGAAATTGACAAGACTTTAATCATTACTTGCTGAATATTTTTGCCTCCTAGCCCATTTCTGTGACTGGAAGAAAGGATATTTATAATGCCTGGAAAGGTGATTTTATATACACATAAGGGAGGTCCTCTTTTTTTTTTGCAGTTTATCACTGCACTGATTTTTGTTGTAGATGTCAAGAAAATAAAAATTAATCTGTCCTCCTTTCCTCTCATTTGTTCTCCTTTCCATTTGTTAGTGTCCCCCTTCTGTCTGTTCAGATATCTGGTAACCCTAGCTTTGTGGTGTTTTGTATTAGATATCAAAATATATTTGGAACCTGTAGAAGTTCGGACACACTACCTGTCTATGACATCTTAAACCAGATGAATTCTCCCTGGGATTATGTAACTGTCCTTTTAGCATGGGGTGACCACAAGTCCCATTTTCATCAAAATTGCAAAAGGGGCCTCCTGCTAGATGTCTGCCTGATGTCACAACCCAGGACCAGGTACAGGGCTTGAAGTAGGGTCAGCACAATGATACTTCCCACACACTGGCTGGTTGGCTTCCTTCCTAAGGATGTTGCTGACTTTTAGAGTTGAACCTGGCTCTTCTTGGTCCCCTCAGGATTATGCTAGAAGGGGAAAACAAGTTATAGGATGTGAAAACAGCTTTTAAACTTAAAAGGCATTTGATAGCTTTGATCCTTATTGAAAAAGTACAGGTGGGCCTCTCTATCCCATATGCACTTGGAGTAAAACATATTTCTGACTACTCTCTTCCATAAAATGTGAATACTTTACGATTAATGTATAACCTACTAATTTCTCTCATTTAGAAGATAAATTTCTCTCATTTAGAGCTGAATAGTCACCCATGTTGTGATTAAAAAGGTTAGATGATGGAGATGAATATTTCATCATTGGAGCTGTATTTTGGAGAATATTCCATTTTTTTGTTGAAGTTACAACCACCCCCTTGCCAGATGTTCTGCTGCTCTGCCTTCTCTTTCCCTTCCCATCTGGTTCTGGCTTCTACTTCTACTTCAGTTTTCTGAGCTTAACTTTATACAGTGATTAGAAAAGATATATTAATTGGGACAATGATCAATAGTTTTGCCCCCCCCCCCAAGTGACAATAGGTAGGGGTAAAAAAATTAAATGGAGACTGAGGATAATGCATCACTGAGAAATCACATGAATGATCCCAGACAATCAGGAATCAAAACTTAACATGTGGATTGTGTGTAAGAGTAAGTGACAAAGTAAAACAACAACAACAACAACAACAACAACAACAACAAAAGGATATGTTTCTTATGTCTTAAGGTACCGGTATGTGATGAGGGCAAACAAAATCACACGGTGGGAGGAGAATCAAAAAGAGAAGGAAAGGGGAAAGGGAAAAGAAAGGAACATACACAGTCAAATGTTTTCATAGGCATCATAAAAGTTACAGCTAGTCCTCGTTAGCCACCACAATTGGGACGGGCAATTCTGTTGTCGTAAAGCAAAGCGGTCGTTACATGAACCCGCAACTATGCTTACAATCTTCCTTCAGCTTCCTTTTCCTTTACAAACTTGCAAAGATTGAAAATGTGCAGATGGATCGCAAAGCGACTTTTTTTTTGTCACCATCATAAATGTGAATGGTCACCAAACAAGGCAGTCACTAAACGAGGACTACTTGTACTGAAACATGGATGGCTTTTTTTTTCAGAGACTGTCAAGACTAAGAAACGACTACATTCCACTCTGTTATTTCTCTCTCCTACGCTGTGGTGTTGGGGACAGCCTAATTCCTTCTTAGACTTTTCCTGGGCAGGGAGAAACTACCTGTAGCTCGCTTTGGCTGAAGCTTTCTTCTTTCTGGAAGAGGCAAACCAAATGTGCCCCTCTCCCTTTCTCTGTATAAGAAAAACACCTGTCCTTTCATTTAAAAACACATGTAAAACTATGGCTTTAGAATAATAATAATAATAAGGATAAAAAGTTGTGTAGACTGCAGCTCATTAAATCTTTTCCATCCCTTTGGAGGCATCGTCTAGAAGTGAGGATGTACAAAATCAGGAATGGAAGGGAGGGTGGGGCTCAAGGGAATGGCTGGGATTGGAGCAGAGCATGGGAAGGGAAGGGGCGTGAGAGGTGGTGGTAAGTCTAAATTCCCCATTGGTCAATGAGAAATCCATTGCTTTACTGTCCATGGACAGGCTGGCAGTCTGTTGCAGTTTACTTCTTAAACATATCCTGGAGTGGACCTGGCAGGTATTTAATAACGGTATCTAGGATGCTTTCCTCTTCCTCCTCGTCCTCATCTCCACAGCCCGGCGGGATGGCCTTCTTGGGACGTGTCAGGCTGCCTTCTGCATTTGCTTCCAGAGCGGCTTGGGCCTCTGCTTCTCTTTCCTCCTTCTTCTTAATGCCATACTACAGAAAGGGGAGAAAAAAGAACAGAGGCTTTAAGCATTGGATCAAAACCAATCAAGGAGAGAGCTAACCTAGAAACAGGGAGAAATTTCCTGATAGAACAATTAATAGGTGGAACAGCTTGCTTTCATCACCCATCACTGGAGATTTTAAATAAGAGATTCGACAGTTAGTTGTCTGAAAGAGTATAGGACAGGGGTCAACCTTTCAGACCTCAGGGACCACTAGATTCCTATTTTTAAATCCTGCAGACCACTAATATGATCTGCCTAATGACTGGATGGGCATGGCTAGGTGATCATGTGACTTTGTAGGTGTGACAACTTGATGTCACTCATGTCGAGGGGCACCTCTACTCGGCCCTCCCCTGCCAGTCACTCTTCGACTCCCCACCAGGGCTCCTTAGGGCCCCAACAGGAAGCAGTTGTTGGAGCTAAGCAGCCACCACGAGAAAGAGTTGGCAAAACACCTGGCTGAGTTCAAATTGGATCTGACCCAGAAGGAAGCTCAGTAGAAGCACCTCACTGAGGACTACAAACATAGGATTTCCAAGCAGAAGGAAGACCTGTGGGAGTGCCAATTCCAGACCATGATGCAGTCCAGGGATGTGCAGTCAGGGGAGGCAGGGCCTCACCACTGTCATGATGAAAAGAAAAGAAAAATTAAAAGGAAAAAGGCTGAGGTAGTTGCTGCCAGAGTCACAGTGGATGACTCTGCTTAGTGCTTAACTGCAGGAGGAGGCGAGAGAACCAGAGTTTGTTTGAGAAGAGAGGGAAGGGGGAGAGGCAGGGAGGGCAGCCTTGTTTCAGAAGAGAGGGGGAGACCGCCAGCAGAAGCGGGTCTTTTACCCGCCTCTGCTGGTGGGCTGGCGCTTTCTTTCTTTTGCCTGCTCTGCCCCCTTCCCTTTCTCCTCCCCCCCCCCACCGAGAGCCCCATCCTGCTCCCCTCTCCCTTTCCTCCTCCTCCTCTCCTCTTTCTTCGCCAACTGCCACCTCGCACCCCACTTCCTCCATCCACGCTGCTGTGTCCGACAGAGGCGTCTCACGTCTATGGCGGACATAAATGTGAGACGCCTCTGACGGGGACAGCAGGGGGGGACACTGCTTCTCGCCGCCGCCTTGCTCTTGCCTCACCAACCGTAATCCTCACCGCACGTCACTGATGCAGTCCCACTGGAACAAGGCCCCCCGGCTCTTCACCACCAGCGGCACTTCCCTCCAACCTTTGCTGGAGGGTGAAGCAGACCCAAAGTTGGAATTTCTACCCCCCTCTGACCCACACAAAAAGACCCTGAAGGGGAAGTCTCTCTGCAGCAACACAAATGTTCATTGCACATATCCGGCCCAGGGGACGTAGTTTGAGGACCTCTGATTTAGTGCAATATAAAAAAGGCAAATAATTTTTCTGTGGACCACCAAAATCTTCTCACAAACCACCAGTGGTCCATGGACCACCGGTTGGTGACCACTGGTATAGGGCAGGGTGTTGGACTAGAAGCTTGAGCAGGGGGTTGGACTAGAAGACCTCCAAAGTCCCTTCCAATTCTATTATTCTGTCATAATCATAGAGGATATCAGCTGAATGTCAACATTTGCTTTCAGGCAAATGACATCATGCCAGAATCCATTCTGGCCAATGCTGCACTCAGCCTTTAAATCAAATAGTAGTTTTAAATGCCAGGCCAGCTGGTAAATGATAGAGCTGAGGAAAGAAGGGCTAATTTCTCCTACAGCAAAGAAACACTATAAACCAGCTAATCCCTTAGATCAGTGTTTCTCAACCTTGGCCACTTGAAGATGTCTGGACTTCAACTCCCCAGAATTCTGGGAGTTGAAGTCCAGACATCTTCAAGTGGCCAAGGTTGAGAAACACTGCCTTAGATCCTCCTGCTTTGCCGCATAACCATTAGAAATGAAGAATTCATGTTTAATGCCCATAGTGCCAGTAGTCCTCAATTTACAACCCATAATTGAGCCCAACGTTTTTGTTGTTAAGCAAGATAGTTGTTAGGGAGGTTTTTTTTGCCCCATTTTACAACTTTGCTCACCACAGTTGTTAAATGTATCACTATAGTAGTTACATTAGTACCATCGTTGTTAAGTCGATCCTGCTTCCCCATTGACTTTGCTTTTCAGAAGTCACAAAAGGGGATCACATGATCTTGGGACACAACAACCACCTTAAGTATCAGTTGCTCATCATGTGACCAGGGAGATGCTCCAACAATCATAAGTGCTGTGTAACCGTTGAACAGTCACTAAATGTATAGTTGTAAGTCAAGGACTAGCTATAATGTATATGCAATCGTACATATAAGCGAGGCATTTGTTAAGTGAATTGTGCCCCATTTTACAACTCTTCTTGCCTCAGTTGTTAAGTGAATCACTTCAGTTGATAGGTGAGCAATCCATTTTAAGTGAATTTGGCTTTCCCATTCACTTTGCTTGTCCAAATGTTGCAAAAGGAGTTCACATGATTTTGGGGCACAGCAATGGTCATAAATAAACTGTGAAAAATGATCATAAGTTACTTCTTTCCATGCTGTTGTAACTTTGGACAGTCACTAAACAAACTGTTGTAAGACAAGGGCCATCTGTACCACTCCATAGTGCTTTATAGACCTCTCTGAGTGCTTTATAATGTCAGCACAACCTGGGTCCTTATTTTATTGACCTCAGAAGGATGGAAGTCAACTTTGAGCCTCATCAGGATTGAACTCCTGACAGCGGGCAGAGTTATCCTGCAATACCACATTCTAACCATTGCACCACCAGGGCAGTGAGTATGGAATGCATGAATTGTTCCAGGAACCAGTCCAGGCTTTTCCCAATTTGGGAAAGGCTCTAATTGGCACCTGCCCATGGTATCTTTCCTCACCAAGAACAGTATGTGGATGCCAGGAGCAGTTACAGGATCTGATTCTTTCACCTCCATGACAACCTGTGAATCTGAGCTGCAAATAAGTGCCACTTTTTGTAATAAATGTGTGCAGCCCTATGATCATCTTCTCCCAGCCAGGGTTGCATTCCAATCTATGGAACGCTATCATGAAAATGGAATGCCGATAGTTGCTAAATAATAAAATGCTTGCACCTCATTTTAAAATCCCAGAATAAAGAGTTTTGGCTTAAAAAAAAACAATACAAAACAAAAATCTATCAAATCCCCTGCCTTCAGCTTTGATTCTTATGTACAGACTCTCAGTCCTGAAAATATCCTGCGGTGATGAGGTGTCATTTCAATTACGCAGCATTAAGGATACACTTCACAAGCAAAATGACTTAGAGAGGTCAGATCATCTTCTATGAAATTACTTGTCTGTTGGATCCAAAAGTAATTGCTTTGCCTGAATGGTCCTTACACCTTATCTGGTTGGCTTTGCATTCTAATTAAACCACTGTACGGAAATCATGATGAAACTCAATATACAGTTGGTTGGGGGTACATTCTTTAGGCCAGCAAAACATACAATGAGAATAAGTGAAAAACCTGAAAAGAAATTATGTGGGATTTCAAACAGATTTAAAGGATTATTTCAAGACAACACTTTTCAGCAATCCTCCTGGTTTGAATATGTAAAGTGCAGATGTTCCTTTGATGGCTTATTTTTTTAAAAGAAAAGATAGCTATTAAATTAAGTCGAAGTGATTAGTGGCGCTATGGATAATTCATCTCCATAAATCAGCAGATAAACAAACTATACCTTTCAAAGGAAGAATATACACCCAGCAAGGCCCAAAGAAACCCCCAGATACTTTTCATAGTAATTAATTCATGCAGCCATTTGATTAAAGACCAGTTGCTTCAAAGTTTAGCAATCAGCAATATGATTGCAACAACTTTAACTATTTCCCCTAAAATTAGTGAGATTTTATTCTAATACTATCATGGGATTATATGATCTGTTCATGAAGATCTTGGATGGAAAGAAGTAACCTTAATAGTTGTTTCCATCACTTCTTATGAGAAGGTCAACTCCCCCTGTTTTACAAAAATCAACCAATAAGGGGTGGATTGCTACCAGCATTACTGCCGGTTCAGTGTGCAAATTTTTTTGCATGTGCATTAGCGCTTTGCTCGTATGCACGCCAAATGTACGCTCTGTGTGCATGCACATTTACCTCAAAAAAGTCTGTGCATGTGCAGAACATAAGAAAAGGGGGAAAATTACATTTCTGCAATGGAGATTGTTCTGCGCATGTGCAGAAGCAAAAATAAAGATGGCATCACTGAGAATAGAACTGGTTCGAGTGCGTGGGCAACTACCTACTGAGCCGAACTTGTCCGAACCAGTAGGAATCCACCTCTGCAACCAATGTTCTCTAGATGGTTTAGGCTACAGCAGGGGTGTCAAATTCAAGGCCGGGGGCTGGATCTTTAGATCTGGTCTGTGGGGCCACCCTGGAAACAGGACTTGCCCACAGTGTCTCTGCCAGCAAAAATGGGCCTCTAGAGAGCTGCTAGTGGTCCTCCTGAGCTCTGTTTTCACTGGCAGAGAGTTGCAGGAGGCTGTCACAGCCAAAAACAGAGCTTGGGAGCCATTTTCACTGGCAGAGCATTTGGGCTTCCACAGGCACCCCCGACATGAGTGATGTCGAGCTGGCCATGCCCACCCTGGCCATGTCCACCCTGCTGCCTGAAATCAAACACAACCCTAATGTGACCCTCAATGAAATCGAGATTGACATCCCTGGGCTAAAGTTTCCACAAGTTCTCCTCATTAATAATGCTGATTGGGGTTGATTGGAGCTGAAGTCCAAAACCCAAGGAGAACATCAGGTGACCAACTGCACATATAATATTACTCAATCAAAAGAACACTATACCAGTACCCTAACCATGTTCCAATATCTATTGGTTACTTTCTCTAAAACTCAACCATCCTTCTTCATCCACAAAATGATACGGTTATTACATTGACAGTCTAAAGTACAGGAAATGTTGCATTTCATCACTTGAATGTGGAAACTTTCCTTCCAGTGAAATAGTAGGTATGTGGG